AGCACGAATACAGGTAGTTGTATAATACATGTATTTATTTTATTTCGTTTAAGCTGATGCAGGACGGATATTTGAAGTTTCACAAAATGATATAAGTGGACTTCATGTTTTCATTGAAGTTCTCATCGCCTGACTTTCAGATAGGCATTATCATTAATGATAAACTGCAGTTTCAACATGGACTAGGTCTAATAAGCTTCCACAGATAGACTTGAACCAGTTTAGTGCAGAGTATAACCTTACATGGATGCTCCTGGGCCAAATTGCAGATGTTAATTTCAAGGAAGGTCAAGCTTGTTCCATATTCTATTTAATATTATCCGGGTGCTCATAGGACTTAGGCAATGTCGAAACTGTAATCCACGCTGAATGTGAATACCTTTAGGGCTATTCATATCATTGTGAGGAAATGTTCAAAAGTCATTCTTTCATTACCTTTTTTAACCTAAGGTTGATTACAACGCCTATACAAGAAATATTAGTAATCTCAACATCTACTTTAAAAACGAAAATATAAGGTTTTTACTGTAATAGCATGGTATGACTTGCCTTGAGGGTCATTTCTGCTTTTTGACTAAATGGCTCTTGGGGCTATGAAACGAAGTGGTAATGTGTAGCCACTTTGCCCGTACGACCCGGATGTGAAACCCTATAAAAGGGGCGTCATAACCTAAATACATCCTGGATGTGAGGGGAACTTAATGACGTATGCGGGAAAATCATATATTATACCCTACATCATTATAAGCTCCTTATTTATTTATTTTGTCGTTTCTCCTGTACTTATCTCAAGTCAGGCGCATCCATTTTATTCATCTGCATTCCAGACTTGTCCATTTTTATATTTGGTACTCTAAGGTCGAGTGAGGCTTCGTCTTCCGTGGACGTCTACTCCGATGAGGTGATTCGGCTGATTCATCTCAACCAGCCTGAGTTGTCGGATCTAATGTCCAGTCATCCACATCTCACCTATTTTCTGCGGGTACTCGTTGAGAACGAACGCCTTAACCCAAAGTCACTTGAGAGCACTGGCAACGTGAGCGTAGACAGAAGAGCTGGAGGATTGCCGAAAACTCAAGAGGAGCTTATTGTAGCAGACGAAGGAGGTAGGAGTTCACCCTGTGACGATCCAGGAAACATGAACTATATGCTAAAGATGCGTTTTTTACCTGGTCGCTTGGATATGGGGCTCCGTATCATGCAAAACTTGATTGATTTCGTCCGCATCACACTGAAAAATGAGGTATTGCCTGCCAAAAATATTGAGAAGCTGGTGCTGGAAGCGGCACATGAGTGCCGCCTCCCAAATGAACTAACTTACATTGGTAATCAGGAGTATTGGCAGTTAACTCTACGCCAACTACGCCGTATCGAGCTTGAGGCTGCACGCAGCATTCTACGAGAGATTGTTAATAGGAATAATTATACCATAGTTCTGGAGGAATTGAAAAAGCGATTAGCTGATTTGCATGGCATAGAAAATAGGTGAGTCTACAGGTCGCCAACTCTCTCCTTCATTGGAGTTGTCAGGAGTGACTGGGTTTCAATTAATCTTAAATTCCACGCAATTTCTTATTAAAGAGCATAAAGAAGACATTTTTTGGTAGATCTCACTAGAAGACGACGGCTGAGTGCTGTTGTTCTCCAGGTTGCTAGAAGCCGCGAGGCACCATCCCTCCCCTTAAGTGAAAATTGGCTGAACTTTCCTTCTTCAGACGACGGACTCAATCAGAGCTGGAACTCTTGCTTGCAAAAGCTTCAAGTTAGCATTAAGTTAAGAAGACTATCTGGCTCTATCT